AGTGAATGTTAAGGCTTGTTAGATGTAGTAAGCAAGTGGTGCTACATCTGTGCTACGAATGCTAATCGTAAAGGTCTCCAAGTTAAAACGAATAGAGAAGGCCAAGTCCCTCCTTTCTGGGGGACCTCCATGGGGACCTTATTTCGGAAAAAGTATGTCATTGAAGTCAATGGAGAGAAAAGATTTATTTTTCGTTCCGTTGAATTTTGCCGGAGGAATTGAGCATAATGATGTTTGTCAAATTACAAAGATAATGTTTGCCAGTCAAAAAATATAAATGTGTCGTAAAAAACGTGAATAACAGCATTTTTTTTGTGTTGGAACCGACTAAAGTGAAAGCTACATTCTCTCTCGCCAACAGCCAAGATGCGCCATCCGGGTTGGCCACAGGTTTCACCTCTTCTTTCAGGAAGTGAGGGCCGAAAAGTATTAAAAAAGGGGGTAGAAATCACTACAAGTCTGGGCATGGTTGGGAGAGCTTGTACATACACACCAAGGGGAGTTAGCGGGTCAGTAACGAGGCCAGCATGCGGGGACCGGGATTCTGGGATTTGTAGTCTTTCTAGTTGCGTATTTTTTTCATAGTGTTATATTCGAAACAGTTTTACGACACTGTGACTTTTTTGACGATCGAAATTATTTTTTAAGATTGCACATTCGGGTGGCACAATTCCAAACGGTGGATCCAAAGATAATCTATCTCTCTCCATGGACTTCAATACATAATTTTCCGAAAATAAGGTCCCATGGGGCGGAAGTACATTAAATTAGCATTCATTTAGCTGGACGCTTTGTATCCAAAGCGGACTTACAATTACAGGGGACATTCTCCCTGGAGGTTAACTAAGGGCTAAGTTGCTTTACTCAAGGACACTAGCGGTGGTGGTTCCGGCGGGATTGAACTAAAACTTCCAATGCTTCAGCCCAGCCGTCACCATCCATTATTAGACCACAGTGACCACTTCTAATAGATGGGCGGGACTTCGCCTCCCTATAGAAAGTGTTAAGCCTTTAACTGAGATAATACTGTGAACAACGGCTTCTGTTTTGAGGTTGAGTATAATGAAGGTAATCGCTTGGTAAGTTTTAGAGAGATATTTGTATTGAGGAAGGTAGGGACTTTATGCATTGATAAGGTTAATTTAAATGGTGCGATGATCGATTATGTAGACAAGCGCGTAACAAACAAAGTAGTGTTTGAAGAGCGGCCTATCAGTGTATGTGAATCAACCTCACAATAAGATGTTGGATATCACAAATATTAAGGTGATGCAGTATGTTGCAGAGGATGATTACTTAAGATATTGCAATAGGTTGGTTGGCTGGGAGTCATGTTTAGCTTACATTTAGCGTCACAGTCATGTTAAGGAGAATAAACAAACCGTGTTTCTTGTTTGATTAGCTTGTATTACCGAAAATTTGGGTATCAAATGAAATAGGTAAGCATTGGAAAACACCAATGCAGATGAAGCGTAAACTATGTTATTTGAGGTATTTGTTGTCTGGGGAGAAGGTACTGTAGCAACGAGGTTCCTAGTGTGTCTGCAGTTATAGATGGCTTTCTTGTAACAAGAGAATTAAAAAAAACTATCATATGGACCATTATTGTACATAATTATCCTTTTTTTTTTAAATGGCTGACCGTATTCATGCAAAATGCACTTTTGTACGTCTTTATATAATAATGGTGTCCCTCTTGTTTTAACTTCATCAAGTGTCAGTATCTATTCCTCCTATTACCTCAAATCCAAATATAGCTATCTGATTATAGACTGACAGATTTGAACACTTCTGTGATAGTAAGTGGGCGGCTCGTCTGGCAACTCCTTTACATTGCCTGTTCGAAAGCCGTGAGACGCTTGTAGAACATATGCCCAGGCCTGTAGATGGTGCTGTTCTCACAGAATCAGGCCCATTTGCAAGAACAGTGTTAAATTGATTTTGATTAATATTGTAGTTTATTATATGGGTTTAATATATGTGTCATTGACTGGTTTTTGTTTATTTTTTGTGTTTTAATAATATAATAAGTATAAAATGCTTATATTAGGTATGGTCCTTACACTATATTATTCCAAATATAGCAATGATAGGTTCCTCCACTTTAATTGATGTTATTACAATGCACCTAATAAACAAGTATGGCATTTTGAACATATGTGCAACAAGGTTTTACTGTAATTTGGTGTGCATTTGTTGTTAACTAAGATTGATGTTATGATTTTATTTTTTGTTATATTGAGCACGTGGGACCTTTGGAAATACCTGGAGAAGGTAGAAATGGGTCTTCGGAATGATGGGAGTTAAAGAGCAAAAGCCGAGACTATGTTTGAAACTAGTGGAAAACGATCAAGATTTTGCCACCATTGTCCCTCTGATTAGACGGGCATGTTAAGTCAGGAAGTAGCATTAGTGATGAGTGGAGAGGCAACGGGAGAGTGCTGAGTAACATGGAGTGCAACCACTACACCAGGGGTCGGCAACCCTTTTTGGATATGAAGTGCCATTTTTAAAAAAAAAATTGTTATCAGGTGCCAACTATCGAGATTATCAACAGGGGGGGGGGGAGTTGAGGGAGCTTGACGCTCGTCAACATCAGCAGAGAGCGGGGAGCCTCGTGCGGAGGGAAACGCAGTGTGTGGAACTTTCAGCGCACTTACACAATGCCGAATTTAACAAACAGATTTAAATAATTGTATTCAAACGGCATAATAATGAAGGGCGATCTCCGTCTCTGTGATTCTCCAGAGCACACCATTGTTATGATATTAGGGTCATGCAGAGTGAGATGGGAATCGCGTGTCCCTTTAATGAGAGAGAGAGTAGAGAGAGAAGGGTGTGGGCTGTGCAGGGTGTGTTTGGATGTTGAGCGGACAGTGATCGAGCGTGTGTATGTTTCTGGAATGAAACGGGAAAGCAGAAAACAGAAGGTCTTTGATGATATTTTGTAAACAGAAGAACAGCTAAATAAATGCAACGGTCCTCCCAAGAAGAGGCTCGACCTCATCTCCAGTCATTTAAGCTAAAAGTGGTGTTATTGGAACCTGAAGGCTTGTTTGCTTCCCTCCTCGACTACGGTCTGGGAGCCGACAGGAATCAACACACATGGCCATCCGCCCTTTGTAGCATAATTATTTCGATGGAGATGAGCAGATCGCCCACGGGTTTCAACTAAATACACAACCACCGCAAAAAACTGCTGGCCTTTGTACAGAGCTCCTTATGGGTACTTCAATTAGTGAAGTGCTTCCTACGTGGTGAAACGATCAGCACTGCGCCCCCCCCCACGGAGGAAAGCGGGCAGAAGTCCACCTTGAGTCAAGGAGAGCGAGGGCTGCGTTGCGTGCATGGCTTCCTTCTGCAGGTGACGGGGGACGCGCTCTGGCGGGGGTCTCGTTCAGGATCCGAAAATACAATTTAAATATTTTATGCACACTATTTCCACTTATTTCCTAGGTGTGCCACTGTGTTACGGTGACCGCTGCCAATGCTGGCACGCGTGCCAGGGGGTTTGGCCGGACCCACTGACTCACCATAAAACCACAGGCTGGTGGTTTATGACCCCCACACAGCAGTCATTATCCAACCATATTAAAGAGTTTGGTCGCCGTCAAAAGGACATGGTCGTAGAACTGAGGAGGAAAACGCTACAGAGATTTGAGGAGGCACGTCAAGCGTTCTTGAATGTCATCTTGCTATTGCTCTGGCTCACCCTGATGGGACTGCTTGGACGTTGTTCAAGTATACGACAAAGCTTTCCGGGTCTGGAGTACCATTATTTCACTTACCAAGTCTTTCTGTCTGGAAAAAAGCTTTTAGTGTTTAAGATATGTGTATCCAGTCATACTAAACGTACGGAACCTGGAGGGTCAAGAGAGAAAAATAATAAAACGTGGCCACGCTTTATTAATGTGCGCACGAGATAAGCGTGGCCACGCTTTAAATACAACGAGGCCCACGCTTTTAAATACAACGAGGCCACGCTTTATTAACTCGTTAAAAGCTGGTACGTGGCTGTACTACGAAGCAGGATTTTGCTATTTACATATTCATCGGATAAGTATGAGCGCTGGCTGTCGCACGCCGTCTCATGTTTGATTTACTGAGTTGATAACCAGCTTCGTAGGACCGCTTACGACATCGCGTTTGTTAGGGGGGTAGTTGAGCGGGTAATCAACATATCCAGGATCTGTGTTGAACTGCTTCCGTATCGTACAGAGGCATGGAGGCAGTTACGTGTAACTCCAGCAGGATCTGAGAAGAGCACCACCAGCTGCCAAGAGCTGTGCCTTTACTGTTACTTCACTGCGGTTTCCCTTCATATAAAACAGCTGGAATAGAGATCGAGGCTGGTGCGTTAAACACACACACCTCTTTTTGCGTCTCGTTTATTGAAGGGATGTCCTGTCACCAGGAGCGCAGTGATGTGTGTCGTGTGTGGTGTGCTCAGCTCCGACTCTATGTGCGTTCGGATGTGTTTGATGTGTGTGTGTGTGTGTGTTGTGTGTGTGTGTGTGTGTGTGTGTGTGATGTGTTGTGATGTGTGCGCGCTCAAGCTCGCTCTATTGTGTGCGTGTTCGGTGTGTTTGTGTGTGTCCGACACCACCGGCATTTGTTTTCAAATTACCACGAACATAATTTACACACATCTGGTTCTCCGAGTCTTATGTGTATTCCACAAGTGAAAGAATGTGTTTAA